AAAGGAGCTGAGAAAGCTAGTATTTGCTTGCTTCCCGCGCACGCGGTTTCCAGCACCCTGACCTAATTCGATGTGGCTTAGGTAATACTCGGGATTTCGTGTTCTATAGTGAAAAGAAGTGGAAGGTTTTATAGGACGCCGAACCCCTAGAGTACCTGTGATCTCCCCACAGTTCACCAACCGGCCCCGTACTAGTAGACGGAAGACCGTGAACATCAAGGTCAGAGTTTCCACTTCTGACTCGGGTACGCACAAGTACTTGGCACAGATGATCGCAGGGTACCAGCATAAGAAAACCCCACCTATTTTTGCCTGCATCCGGATGCCGCGATACAAGATCCGGCTTTAGTTGGAAGTCACCGCTCGCTCGGCACGCACACCACTGGGAAACTTGACATTTTGGCGGTCCCAGCCCGCATAGGTTGCTACACATATCCCGCCGGTGACCTTAACAGACCATCGGCATCCCGGTGTCAGGAAAACGCCCTTTTGCAACGGTTTGCGGTCCGGAAATTGGGAACTACTCAGTCCGGCAGTCTCAATGAGGTTTTTCAGCAAGAAATCGTCCAAAAGCTCCACCTCCGCGGACAGAGTGGACGCAGATACGCGCGCCGGACGTTACGAGTCGACGCAGCCTTCTGGCACTTCAGGTCCAAGAAGTCCCTACTCGCACGCAAAGCGTTCGCACTCACAGTCGCCGCCGCCGCCGCCGCCGCCTCCAAAGTCTCTAAGGCCGCCCGCGCAGACGCAGCAACACCGATTGTCCCCCACCAAACCCGTGTTTTCGTCCCCCTCGGGCACCCGCTCGCCGTCCGCCAAAAAAACTCACAGGTCGGACAGTCAACCACGCCGGGACCATTCTCCCCCGACACCACCTCCGCACTACAACCTTCCCCCAACACCACCGTCGGGCTCAACTTCTAGATCTGCGAGTGCGCGCGATCCCACAAAACACTCGTCGTCGTCATCGTCGCATCAGCCGCGCTCCTCGACCAGTTCCCGCAGCAGTTTCGGCCGCCACCCAGTCGACCCCGCCGCTGCGTCTGACAGCCGTTCCAGGTCAACTTCCTTCCGTCGAAAAAAGGTCGACACAGACATCCACCCGCTGAACCTGCCTCCCGAGCAGCGCAAACGCTTTTCTGATCTGTCCGGCTTTAGTGTTCGAAATTCAATGGAGTTCGACAACAAGGAGAACGGCGCGGCTTCCGCAGCCTCGCCCCCGCCGCCGCCGCACAAGCAGCAACCGCAGGACCAGCAAGCTCAGCAGAAGCCCACACCGCCCGCTCACGGAAGCACGTTTACCGTCCCCATGTCCAACGGTGCCGATGCTGCTCAGACCAATGATGGCGAAGTTCCTACCCCTCCTCCCCATCGCTCGCAGCCTACTACCCCCGTGCAGAGCCCTGCCGAGCAGGCAGAGGGCTTCAAGAATGAGGGCAACAAATTCTTCAAGGCAAAGGATTATAACCAAGCGATTGCGCATTATACCAAGGGTGAGAAGGCGGCCAGGTTCGAGGATCAAAAAAGAAATTATTGAGGCAGAAACTAACTTTCATAAAAACTACAGCCATCGTCTTGCAGCCCGAATCCGCAACATATCTAGGAAACCGTGCGGCAGCCTACATGTCCGCCGGCAAGTATAAGGATGCTCTTGAGGACTGCACTCGCGCAGCGGAGCTTGACCCGAACAACCCCAAGATTCTGTTGCGTCTGGCCCGTATCTACACCAGCCTTGGCAGACCCGAAGAGGCCATCGCCACTTTCGGCCGCATCCAACCGCCCCCTTCGGCCAAGGATATGGCTCCCGCTAGGGACATGCTAAACTATATCCAGGCCGCCCAAAAGGCTCTCCAGGAGGGCACGGCCGCTTCCATGGTCCTGCACCCCCTCGATATGGCCGAAAGGCTCCTGGGTATCGGTGCTAGCCGGCCCAGAAAGTGGGTTTTGATGCGTGGCGAGGCTCTCCTCAGGTTGGGCGATATCAACTCTCTTGGTGAGGCTCAAAATATTGCAATGTCGCTCCTCAGGAACAACAGCCAGGACCCCGAGGCTCTCGTGATTCGTGGCCGTGCGCTTTATGCTTCAGGTGAGAACGACAAGGCGATTCAGCATTTCCGCAAGGCGCTCAGCTGCGATCCCGACTTCAAGGATGCCATCAAGTGGTTGCGTATCGTTCAGAGGTTGGACCGTATGAAGGGAGAGGGCAATGACGAATACAAGGCTGGCCGTTGGCAAAACGCCCTGGAAAAATACACTGCGGCGTTGGAGATTGACCCGTCAAACAAGGGCACCAACTCCAAGATTCTTCAGAACCGCGCCTTGTGCTACACCAAGCTGAAGCAGTTTGACGAGGCCATCGCCGACTGCGAAAGAGCCATCAGCCTCGACCCTTCTTACCTCAAGGCCCGCAAGACCAAGGCCAACGCGCTTGGCTTGGCCGAGAGGTGGGAGGACTGTGTTAGGGAGTGGAAGGCGCTGCAGGAGCTCGAGCCTGAAGACAGGACCATTGCTCAGGAAGTCAAGCGGGCCGAGCTCGAGCTCAAGAAGTCGCAGAGGAAAGACTACTACAAGATCCTTGGGATCGACAAGAATGCGGATGAGACCCAGATTAAGAAGGCGTACCGTAAGCTCGCCATCGTCCACCATCCCGACAAGAACCCCGGTGATGCCTCCGCCGAAGCCAGATTCAAGGATATCAGCGAAGCTTATGAGACGCTCAGTGACTCTCAGTAAGTCTCTCCCCTGCCCCTCCTAGTTGATGAGTTTGCTAACACCCCGAACAGAAAGCGCGCTAGGTACGATAGTGGTGACGACCTAGTGGACCCGTCTGATATGTTTGGCGGTGGCATGGGCGGTGGCATGGGTGGCATTGACCCCGAGATCATTATCCAGATGATGGGTGGTCAGGGTGGTCATGGCTTCGGTGGTGGTGGCTTCGGCGGCTTCGGCGGTGGCGGCTTCCCTGGAGGCGGTCGCTCCCGCGGCAGGGGAGGTTTTGGCGGCGGCGGCTTCCACTACCAATGACAAACCCAAGAAGATGGTAACGAGTACGAGGGCGACTTTGACGATGATAATGACGGGTATCTGTCCGAAGACGACGCTACCGAGCATCACGATGAGCACGAACGGATCCACAGAGCTTGGGGAAAAGGAAAAGCAGGCAACGACATGGATAGCCGAGTGGCATGGCTCAGATCATGGGGTATCTGGCTGGTCGCTGCCGTTGTGCTTTTGCCTCCCCATCTCTTGGTTTTGCTCCTTGTGTGGTACGCATGCCTAAGTCTCTTCAAAAAGTTCATGGCTGCCGTCAGACGCGGCTAGCGTACTTCCGGTATCTCAGTCAGAGAGTGACTGAGACCGCGTCTGGAGTATGCAACCCCTTGGCTCGTGCCAAATTTCAGGAAAGATGCCTGAGCGTGTAAGAAGCGATGGAGCAGAAAAAAAAAGACGGGTATTTTCTTTTTCAAATTGGTCAAGGCATAGACTTGTTTCATTGGTTCATAACCTCACATACCCTTTCCCCGGAAAAGTTGCGCCACGCGCAGCCTTCGTCTTCCACCATTGTCTTGTTATCGTCTCGACCATATTTCCAGGCCGTTGTTGGGCTTTCAGTTGTCGCAATCATGCGCACGCCCATATGGTTGCCCTTATCCGGCACTGTGAGAAAGTTAGTGGCGTTGTGTGTGTCTAGGTTTCTGGAGTGAGGATGTAACCGATTTTCCTTTTTACATATCGGATTGCACATAGACTGACAACTCCATATAAAAGTCTGGTGAAATAGGGCTGCTTATCATAGTTTAGTTCTTTGAGTATGCTTGAAGACAAAGCAGAAGAAGTCTCAGACACCATATATTTAGGATAGAGCTTTGAACTGGCAGCGAGTACATATGGCACATACAGCGATTATTCCTGTCGCGCAGGATTCATTGTTTCAAGCGATGCCCGGCATTCGGAAAGACCTGAACAAACGTTCGTGGCAGCCGGTCGATGAATAACACTGGTTACACTGTGTCGCTCGTTCATAATCATGGGTGAGATGACAACGTGCGTGTGGTGTAGCGCCTCTAAATCCCAACTCAAGGATCTAGACATCATCTTTAGATTTTGAATAAGGTTTGAATACAGATTACCGTTCTCAGCTTGTGGTTCGCTTCAGTTTGATATCTCTTTTCTGTAGTTGCCATCTTTCTTACCATAGTACATGTGCATCTTGCCAAATTGACTTGGGTCATAAATGTCAATTTGGTAATAAGAGCGGACAGCTGGGTAGTTATTATCTTCTTAAAAGGTCTCTCATCAAATCTAGGGCGGACACTGCATCCAGGGAGAGAAAAAAGAAACAGACAGAGAGATCTGTTCAAATCAAAGACGACACAAGCTCACCACAACAGGAGGCAAGTCCAATGCCGTGATTGATTCACAAAGCCACCAAGATCTCGCGTGTCCGTTCTGGGGCCAGAATGAAGAACAAGGAACCGTGGCAGTACGAGCCGAAGGGGCAGGTACGGAAGGAGGCATGTGGTGTAGAGGTACGTAGCGGTGTTAGCGGGGAGCTTGGGCCCCCTGTCCGAAATTTGGAGGCCACGATTCATCTTCGGTGCCAGAGTCCCCGATCCGCACCTGCCAATCCGCCATCCGCAGAAAGACAACTTGACAACATCCCCCATCACCAATCCGACCAATATCCATCGGTCCAAACCGACGAACCCTGTGGAAGCCGCCACACCTCACTTGACACGGTCGCACCACCTTGCCTTTTGTTCCCAGCCATCTCCAGCAACAAACTGGAAACAGCTTCCACTCCTTTCTCCCACGGTCCAATATTAACTACTACGCTGGCCTAGACAGAGCAGAGGATCCCCGCGGCAGCTCCAACAAAAGCACCCTGCTCGGCCTCTCCCTAGCTGCAACTTGTCCTCGACATCTTTTTCTTGGGAATTGCAGCCTGACCGCCGTCCACCTCAGACACGAGCAGCTTCTCGCCACGATAGGTACTCACCATGAGTACTGATTACGCCTACGACGAGGAGGGCCACCTCTGGCCCTTCTTCGTGTTTACCCTTACGTCCATCGTCACCGTACCCATCACGTACTCGCTAATAAAATCGTCGCGGAACGACCCAGCCGCCGCTCTCAAGCGCATCCAGACAGACTACAAGCACGACCAGTCGGCGGTAGTCGACACGTTACGCAAGTCGGAGAAGCGCAAGGACGGTAGCAAGCCATGGCTAATCGCCCTCGTCATCGCCGGGTGGGCTGTCATGGGCTACATGATCTACCTCATCAAGACCACCGACGCCCCGGTACAACACCTCTGGAACCCGTATGACATCTTGGGCATCGCCGAGAGCGCCACCGAGAAGCAAATCAAGAAGACGTACAAGATGCTCTCCCTCAAGTTCCATCCCGACAAGGCCCGCCCCGACGCCTCCAAGAACGAGACCATTGACGATCTGAACCGCCGCTACGTTGAGATCTCCAAGGCATACCAGGCTCTGACGGATGAGGACGTGCGCAACAACTTTATCCAGTTCGGCAACCCCGATGGAAAGCAAGGTTTCAGCATCAACATTGCCCTTCCCAAGGCCATTGTCTCCGATGGCAATGGCAAGTACATTGTTCTGATCTACTTCGCCCTGTTTGGTGTCCTCCTCCCTTATCTGGTCGGCTCCTGGTGGTACGGCACACTTCGACGCTCCAAGGAGGGTGTTCTTATGGAGAGCGCCAACCGTTTGTTCAAGGAGTATCAGGACAACATTGACGAGGGTGGTGTAGTGGCGGCTCTCAGCAGTGGCCAGGAATTTGAAGACCTGTTCAAGGGCGACAAGGCAGACGCCGGCCTCTCCAAGATCGAGTCCAAGGTTATGGCTTCCGACGAACTTCCACCCAAAGAGAAGAAGAAGCTCGAGGACGTTGAGAGCGGCCCCCGGAGAAAGGCGCTCGCCCTTCTCTGGGCTTACCTTGGGCGCATTGAGCTCGGTGATGCTACTCTCGAGAAGGCCAAGTTCCAGGTCGCTCCTGTTGCCCATGCTCTGAACAAGTCTTTCAATGCCATCGCCCTCGCCTACATGAACACTGCTCCCCTCCTCGCCTCCTACTTTGCCAGCCAGCGCCTCATCCAGGCCATCCCGCCCAAGGCTTCTCCTCTGTACCAGCTTCCACACTTCAACTCGGCCGTTGTTCGGGCTGTCGAGGGCGACTCCCGTGTCCACACCACTGTCCAGGCCTTCATGGACCAGCCTGACGCTAAGCGCCGCAGCCTTGTTGTTGGAAAGGGCCTCTTGACCGATGCTCAGTACAAGGAAACCATCGCCTATGCCAAGCAGCTCCCCTACCTCCGTGTCGCCAAGGCCTTTTTCAAGGTCACTGGCGAGAAGTTCATCATTCCCTCTTCCCTCGTCACCCTCGTTGTCAAGGGCCGCTTCGTTCCTCCCGGTAGCGAGAAGGTACCTGACGTCACCCCCATTGATCTCGAGGACATTGACCCCGCCGAAGACGATCTTGACGCCATCCTCGGCCGCAAGAAGACCAAGAAGGTCGTCGGCAAGGACGAAAAGGGCAAGCCCATCTACGAGGAGTCCGCCGAAAGCGAGGACGTTTACCCACCGCTTGCTTCCTCCCCTTACTTTGCCCGCGACCACAGCCCCAGATGGCACGTCTTCCTTACGGATTCCAAGCAGGGACGCGTGGCCGTGCCGCCTTTCACCTTTGTCAGCTTTGACAGGCCCATTTACGAGTCGGACGGCAAGACGCCGACGTTCGCCATGCAAACCATGAAGGCGCAGTTCCAGGCGCCGCCACAGGCCGGCCATTACACGTTCGTCATGCACGTGGTGTGCGACAGCTATGTCGGGTTCGACACCAAGATGGAGGTGACGCTCGTGGTGGAGGACGCGAGCCGGGCGGCCGAGATGAAGGATGAGGAGGAGATTAGCGAGCCTGAGGAGGGTGAGTTTTTCCTTGCCTCTTGCCACCATCCACCACCACATCCGCATAACAAAAAGCTGACCACAACTACTACAGATTCTATCGCCGGCATCATGAACGCAGCAAAGGGTGCGCCGACAAAGCAGAGGGTTGTCAAGGACGAGGAAGACTCGGATGAGGAAAGTGGGACAGATGATGATGAGGACGATGACACGAGCGACACTAACACGGATACGGAGCCTGAAAACTAAGTTTGGCTTTCTTTCGGTTTTTTTCGCTTAGTCGTTCTTTATATTTTGTAAACTTTCTTTTCAACATCATTAAGAATGGGTGTATGGGTCGGTTGGTAAGGATAGGGTGGGGTGTGTAGTCTCCTTAAAAAGTGATGGAGCGGCTTTTACAGCGAAAGACAAAATCTCATGATAGTTTGGACAGTCTGTCTGGTTATTACAACTTGAAGTCTGGCAGGCTGTTTAGACTTTTACATGTGTGTACATAATTATCTTGTCGCGGTACTGTAGCGGTTGAAAGCCAGGCGCGGATCCTCGAGATGAATGTTCGTGTACCGCAACGCAACGCAACGCACTTAAGTACATGGGTATCATATTCTCTATTCACTTCCTTTTTCGTATTTCCCATTGGCTTATCACCTTTTCCCACCAACCCTCTTCCACTTCTTCTCGGGTCGTCCGCCGGCCAACGAACCCAATTCCACGGATCCAGCAATCCAACCACGAAACAGAAGCCGAGAAAGGGGTTGCCAGGCGGCTTGAGTGGCGCCTTTTGTCAAACCCCTTTGATTTCAAAAGTAAGGGAAATGGCCCAACCCCCAAACCGCATCACAACCCCCAAGTACGTGACCTGGTAACTGGGTATCCCATCCTATATAGAAAGATGTGCTAGTCTAGTTCTAGTAGCTCTGTCTTTGTCTCATGATATTATTGACTTCATTCCTTCTTGCGCAGTCTTCATCCCCTCCTTGTCTTCCTCCTGCGCGTAAACTCAAAGGGTAGTTCCGAGCCATCATGCCGCTAAGATATGCAATTCTCGGCTCTACCTCTCTCCTCTATTTTCCTATTCCTTTGCTGAAAATCGGCTGCTTCCTCATCTTCTTCCTCATCCCACCCCTCTTCTTAGGGGGGTAAAAAGTACTAATCTCAATCCCAGTTCAGTCCATCCTCGTCGCGGGGCTGACTGGCTGATGGGATTTCACGCTGTCCTGGGCTGCTGCGCAGCGAAACGAGCAGAGTTTCACCTGGTCTATCTGAATCGGCCTAGCTGTTGTTTCCCAGCCGAATTGTATAAAATCATGCGTTTAGGCGGCGACATGCATATCGGTTCCAGACGTCTTGGCCACGCTCGGATGGTTGTTCGCAGCGGAAATTTCGGAGACGGACTGGCCGCGGGCCTTGGCGGTAAGGGCGATGAGCTCCTTAAGCATGAGGTCGCGCGTGTTCTTGCAGAGCTCGTCAACGTCGGCGGTGGTGAGGCCGGTGGTGTCGATGGGGTCGAGGACTGTGAGAGAGGCGAGATGGTTAGTATCTCGATAGTACAAGATGGAAGTGAAGAAAAAGGATGAAAGGGAAAGGGGGGGAAGGTAGGGGTTATATTCACCCTTCATAGGAATGACTCCGGCGTTGAAGACGAAGTCCTTCACGTTAAGGACGTGGCTATAGTTGGCAACGACAACCGGCACAATGGGAACCTGAGCCTGGACAGCCAAGTGGAAAGCGCCCTTCTTGAATGGTAGCAGCTCGGGCTCCTTGGAGTAGCTCCTGGTTCCCTCGGGGAACATGTAGACGCTCTGCTGCTTCTTCTGGATCTGGTTGGCGGCGCCGGCCATAGCGGCGCGCGCGTCGGTCTTGCTAGCGCGGTCGATGAAGATGGAACCCGAGAGGGACATGAACCAGCCGAGGAAGGGGGTCTTGCGCAGCGAGCTCTTGGCCGTAACGGAGCAATACTTGGGGAACATGCAGCCCAGCATGAGCACGTCGAGCTCGGTCTGGTGGTTGCCAATAAAGACGGCGGGGCGGGTTTTGCCGAGGATGTTCTTGGGGTCGTCGATCTTGAACCGGACGCCCGTGGTCAGCGCCATGACGTACTTGAAGGAGCGGCCGACGGCCCATTGCGCGCTCTGGCCGTGACCGAGCAGGGAAAAGGCAATGGAGGTGATGACGCCGAAACCGGCGCAGAGGAGCAGCGAGAGGTAGCTGGCGAGCGAACGGGCCACGAAGGCTGCTCGGGGCAGGATGAGGGACAGCATGTAGAAGCCAATGGTGAGGGCGACGCAGCCTTCGAGGAAGTAGACCGGGTAGTAGAGAAGACTGGCCATGACAGCGGTGACTAGACACCCAACGATCCCAGAGGTATGTTTTTATTCCGCAAGTGGGACTCGGAAGGGGTTTGCGATGCCGCTAAAACGGGGTCTGCCCTGCGGAAAGATCGGGACGTCGCGTGTGGTTGGAAATATGACGCAGGCAAGACGGGGGGTGCTAGATAGCGGTCGGGGAAAGGGCAGTAGGATCGGATATGCGTTTTCGTCGAATCCAAGTCTGGGTCAGTATGGTTAAGAGGTTAGTTTCAGAGAAAGAAAAGACCATCACATGGTCTGCTTCCGAAGCAAGACGGGAAGGCACAAGCACAAGTAATAACAGCCGGTCAGCAGCGGACTTACAGCGGCGCAAAGTGTGCAGCAGTCTTAGCCTTGCAGCGTGGGAAGGAACCGAGATGTTGTTGGGGAAAAAGGTATCAGGGACTTGGTTGCTGCCCGGTGAAAGAGAAAGAGGAAAAGGCCGGCTGGCGTGACACAGGATCTGGTGTGTAAGAGGTAGCTGCAGTTGTTTGAGAGTGACTGTGATGGATGAAAGTAGAGAGAAGCTGTATTCACGTTCACCGACAAAAGAGATACAAACAGGACGGCGGCACAAGAGAGGCTGGACACACGGCACAAGCAATAAGACGCAGCAGCTGAAGCAGAAGCAACAAATGAACGACGTAGCCGATGGGATGTTGCAGTTCTGTCGCAAGCAATTCATCGGCACAGGTTGGGGATTCAAGAGTGTGGGGTTTCTGACTGACTGCTGATCATGCCGTTTGATTGGTTCATACAAGTTCCCAGTTGCGGTGCCTGTCATGACCATGTCTGTTGAGGCTGAATTTTTCTCTTCAGAACCCTTTGGAATCTCTTTGACCAGCTGGGCGTATAAGTAGCCGGGCCCAACGAATCACACTATTGTTCGCAACGGCTGAACGAACACTACGTACTCTACCAACACTGATTTCATTGCGCTCCATCAGCTATCATATGGCCGACCCTCCATACAATCTACGAGACTGAGAATGGGGGGGTGTCTTCACATGTCAGCATTTGCGTGTGTTACTGTGGTGTCACTACGAGCGGAGTTTGGGCGTTCAACAGGAAATCTTTGGGGATCTGATGACATGATGCCAGGCAGGTACCAGTGGTGCCCCAGACTTGGCCAGGCCAATCCTTCTTCAGGTGCTCGACCGCGCCCAAGGAATCTGATCAATTGGGTTAGCATGCTGCGTACCATTTGAGCAGGCCAAGGCGTTACACTGATACGGCAATTACGGATGTAGGGGCCATGTATTGTAAGTTTGATACCTACATGGAAACGCTCTCCTCGTTCCCCTGGCGTTCAAGCAAGTTCTTTCCGCCATGGCCCGCATCAGATCATTTCATTCCTATCCCTCCCCTTGCCGTCACGAGTCGCCGTCTCACAGTCGGTCACTGCCCAGACACCAACTACAGTACTACCTGCTAGAATAACAAACAGCGACCGCCCCGGCGTTTTGACCCCCGACCTCCAACACCACCGCCGACCGCACAACATCACTTTCGTCGTCGCTTGTATTCATTTTCACCGGCGCGATCCTGTCCAGTAACGCCTTTGTCATACAGCATAGTACACGCGCCGCCACCCTGACGACCGACCGACTACTGTGTGGTAAACTCACGTGTCGAACAATTGCGATTGCAATTGACCACTACACCCACTGCATGGTGGTCAATTGGTGGCGGGTCCACATGATATCATGGTCTCAGTCCAGCACATGCGACTGCGATAATCAACCGCCCGTCTTCTCCAAAAGACCGCCGACATAGCCCTACCTCCAACTTGCCAATTGCCAGACAGCCGCCATGACCCCCTACAGAGGGCGACAGCCGTCCCTCTCCTTGCGATTGCCCCAGCCGTCGGCCTCAGCTGTCCTTCCCGACCTGCCTCCCATATCGGCCCTGTTTCTGATCGACTTCGATGTCAAGGCCGGATATACCATTGTATGGAAACGATCGATACCCGGGCTGGAACTCGATGGCGTTGTTGAGTACAAGAGTCTTCCTTCCGGCCTCCATACCGTCACCGACGACTTGGTTTACTTTGTCCACGAAGGGGGGCATGCTGGCTTGAGCGCCTTTGTCAACGCCAGGACAGATGAGGAGGAAAACCGCCATGCCCGTATGATTGCTGTTGGGGTTTTGGTTCCGTTGGTATATGGACGGCTAGGAAGGTCATGGCGTCATGCCGACCGGCTCAAGGATATTGCTAGGTAAATAACGGTGCTGTGTGATTTAGAAGGCTTGCAACGTCAGGGGCTAACACTGGATCTCGACTTATAGCAAACTTGTTGTCGACCGTCAACAGACACATCTGCTGGAGGACTATTGGGCCCAGAACGGGATACAGGATGGCGCTCACCCGCCGCCACTACCGGAAGCTGCGCTAGACTCGCCCGCCCTGAGCTACAAGGGGGGCCGTCCCGGGCCCGGAAAAGGCCATTCAAGAAATAGGTCTGCATCGGACGGGACCGTCTTGATGTCCTCACCTCACAGACTCTCACCTTATCACCCTGCTTGGAGTTTAACTTCGCTTCTTGATACATTTGGACCCCTTATCTTTCCCATTCACCGTGCTGCCTTACTGCGCAAGCGTATACTAATTTCTACTCATGCTCCCGTCCATGAAGCTTGTAATTTCGGTACGTTGTGTGGAACCTTGGGTGACTTCGGGATAATCTTGCTTACATACCTTGCTAGTGTACAATCTCTCTGTCCTATCCAACATCCCTTTGTCAGTCTCCGATCTGGTGGATCCTGCGGCATCGACCCAACGTCTGCGACCGCTGTTTAACATTGGTGTTCACGATATTGGGTATCTTCTAGAGCACCACGCGGCAATGAAGCGTCATCTCAGGGGCGACAACCTTGAGACCGACAATGATCTTGCGTCTAGTATTACTGCGGAGGAGGCTGCAACCGGATGGATTGCTTGTACAACAGATACCATCCTCACGATCAAGGATGGTCTATGGGATATGCTCATTACATTGCCGCCACCACACTCGGGCAACGCAAAGGAGCGCATGTGGCCAACTGTCGAGTGCCCCAAGGGCGTGCCAATCAAGGCTACGCAGCGAGATCTAAGGAGGTTCAAGTGGCTGAAAATGAGCCTTGCTCGGATTGACCCAACATCAATGACCACACCCCAGATTCTTCGCAGTCCATTATCTGACAGAACAAGCCAGCGGTCGGTATCAACGCCTAACGTACCCAACAGAACGCCGACAATCTCCCTGACCAGACCAACCGAGACCTCTCGACCGGTCACTGCGACATCTCAAACACCCCCGCTAACACGAGCCAACTCAGACGACGACGCCGAGCGAGTCGTGGAGCCGACTACATGGGCAGCCCTAGCCTACTCTGGGTTTATATGGTGGGCCTCAGCAGGCGAGCAAGGCCACAGTGATGAGGTCGACGAGTTGGCGCACGACAGCGCTTTGCTTGCCGATCTTACAGGCAACACCCCAAAGATGGCAGGACGCACACCTAGGAGGACAAGTTTTGGCACTGCCTCTTCGACCGGCAACAATATTGAAGAGGGGGGTATAACAGAATCGGACTCATCACCTACCGCCCAGCAAGACGGAGCACGTGAAACATCCGATGAGGAGCAGGCCCGCATTGAGCTTGCTATTATCGCCTACTTCCATCGTCTAACTACATCTGTGCTCTCTGTCTTGGCAGACCTCGTCGACAGTGCAGATGATGATGATCTGCTCGACCTCGACATCGACCCAAATGCGGGTGGTGAGGAAGAGTACAGGGATGATTATAACGATGTTGACGATCAGACTGGATTGCTATATAGTCAAGAGCGATCCGGAGTCCAAGGTAGTCATCGCGAAGGTGAAGGCGAGGACGACGAAGCCGAGTATGAAGGCTGTTTGCGGGGGTGGATAAGAGTCGACAGCGAAGCGCTGGCACATATGGGCCTAGATGTGTGGAGCAAGAGTGACGCAGATTTTGTGAGCGAGTTGACAACGAGGTATTTTAGGAGGAGGGCGTATGTGGAGAATAAGGGTGTTGAAGTGTGTGGGTTGAAGGTTTGTTAGCCTAACCCCCTTTTCAATCTGTTTCTGTTTTGTCAAACAGGGCATCGGTGATGGGTCTTCTTTTCTTCATTTTTGATTTGGCGGACTATTCGGGCTGTATGGCGTTAAACCTTTTGGGATGGGAAAATGGGACAAAGTATTTGAACTTGTTTGTTTTGTGAAGACCGTATCATGTTACATATGTTTTGTTTCATCCGAGTTCTCGTACCGACACCCCTGTAGGTTACCCAGGAAACGACTGTTTGGTAACCCGCACTCAACGCCCCAATTCAAATCCCATCAACTCTTCATCCACTCACCACCCCCCCTAGGGCTAAATCTTTGCCCCCAGCGGCCCCAGCGCCCTCAACGCATCCCTCGTCCCCTCCGCCGTCTCCTTCACAATCTTGACCACCTCTCTAAACTCGGGAATCCCCGCATCCCCCATACACTCATACATCCACCCCTCGCTCGTCGTGACCGTCACTCCCTCCTGCCTCAGCCTCGCCAGCGCCACGGGAACTTCTTCCTTGTTACAACTCGAGACCCCATCCGCAATCACGTAGATCTTGGTGTTGGGATGCTTCTTCCGCAGGGCCAAGCACGTCTGCGTCACGCAGATGTGCGATTCGATTCCCACCAGAGCAATGTGCGAGGGGATATTAGAGGGCGAGGAGGAGAACAAAGAGGCGAGAGAGGGCGTGTACATGGCAAAGAGAGTTTTGTCGAGGTCGGCGGCGACGAGAGGGTGTAGGCTGCTGCTGCTGCTGCTGCCACCACCGTCTTTTTGGGTGAGAAAGGGTTGCAGTTCGGAGACGGTTTCGCCTAGTTTGGCCCGGGTCTGGGTGGTGACGTAGATGGGAATGTGGAGGGCGTGGGCGAAGCGGAGGAGTTTGGTGGTTGTTGAGACGCTGGAGATATGATGATGCTTGTAAGATGGGGCTGTTACAGTCAAAGGTGAGGAATGGGGAAAACCATATAATGATACTTACACTTTGTCAAACTCATAGATTGCGTTGCGGAATTTCTCTTGAATGTCACACACACTATTATTTATTGTAAGAGAGAAGGAAGTTACGAATGAGGATTGGGGTTTCGTGAACCATGGACGTTGACGTACAAGAGAGCTGGCTTTTCTGGTATTAGATAAAATGGTCAGTTTAATGAAGTTTTTGAAGAGGTGAAGAGTGAAAGGGCGTTGTAGAGCGTTTGGGACAGCTTCCACATATGAACATACCGAAGGCTCTCTGTTTCGGAGTTGAGTCAGTCATGATGGATGAACGTCGTGTTTGTACAACGGGAAGATGGTGGGAAATTGCCGAGGCAGATATCGCAATGGTTGATGGTCTGTAAAGTGATTTAGAAGTTATGCTCCTATACAACAAGGACGAGGAAGGTCTTGCGACGAAGGACACACTCATGTTTGATCACAGGGAAGGCGGGGATGGGAGAGGGGTACCGAGTTCCGGGGTACTATATGCGGGAGGAGGTTGCTCTATTAAAGTAGCGGGTAGGTAGCCGAGTACATGCCGATCTAACCCCGCATCCCGAGCTCGCTGTAGCGTCACCGAACAAACGACGGGAGCGGTCGGCATCCATTGAGATTCGGCATAGGCCTGATCTTCATCTAGATACCCTCAAGCATACTTCAACGTCGTGCGTCTTTCCACCCAAGGTATCTCTCATTTCTTCATCGGTTCTCAATCTCTCTCTACTTTCCAATCACCCAAACACACGCGCTTACGACAACCGAGTAAGCTTAGCACTCTTCAGCCACCCCATCCTTCCCTGCCCCGTCTCCCTCCTTATCTTGAACAACTCATCCAAAAACGCCGGCACAAACGTTCCGGGGCCTTGAACATCCCTTCGTTCAGCCGCCCTCTCCGCCGCAATCTCAAAGTGCAACAACGCCGCCACCGTAGCCGCCAGCTTATCGTTGGGGAAAGCCGCCACGAAAGCCGAGATGGTCGTCCCCAAAACGCACCCCGTTCCCGTCACCATCTCCAAGTAGGCGTGCCCGTTGTCGATGCGGAACGTGTGTTGCCCGTCACTGAGGTAATCGATTTCGCCAGTCATTACGACTACGTTCTTCTCGCGCAAGGCAAGTTTGCGGACTAACTCGGCCTTTTGCGAAACTTCTAGCTCTGCAGAGGAGTCGACGCCCCGTTGTTGGAAGGTTTCGCGCTCGTAGATGCCGTAGACGGTGCGGATCTCGCCTTCATTGCCTTTGATTATGTCCAGGTAGCCGTGGGAGAGGATGGTCTTGACGGCGGAGCGGCGGAGGGTGGTGGCGCCGGCTCTGCAGGGGTGTGGGAAATGTGTTAGTGGTGTTCCAGAAGCCTCGACGATGGTCTTCTGTTTTTTTTTAAGAGACGAAGATAATGCTTACCCGACTGGATCGTATACAACCGGTTGGCCGACCGAGTTGTACGCCCGCAAAGCCTTGAGATAGTTCTGTAGCCCGTCTGGGTCGACGGTACCCATGTTGACGACTAGTGCGCCCCCTAGCTTGCACAGGTCGAAGGCTTCCTCTCCGTTGTTGGCCATGATGGGCGATGCCCCGATGGCGAGGGCGACGTTGGCAGCGAAGTTTTGCACCACCTATACACATTCCAAATCAGTCAAGTGTTGCTGAAAAACTCAGAAAGGCGCATAGGATTGTTGTGCCCACCAAGTTCGTCATATTATGCGAAAGCGGCTTCTTCCTAGCAACCTCCAGAACCACCTCCGGTACAAGCTCAAGAATGCTGTCCGCCGTCTCCGCCCTCGGGCTTGTAGATTCCCTGACAAAAGGCGGCTGCGAGTTAAATAGACCGAGCAAGTTCTTCGCTGCCGCTTCTGGGTCCGGAGCAGCCACGAGGGCGCTCACCACCGCGACGCCATCGAGCTTCTTGCTCGGGGCCTCACTCTGGTACACGATCCGCTGGAGGTTCTCGGCGTTGATGCCACCAATACAGACGGTCCTGACGTGGTCGTACCCGGCATCCGCCATGGCTTGGAGAATGTCGCGGACGCCGGCGGCGCCGATGATGTTCTTGGTGTTGGTCTTTCTGTGGGTATGCGATTAGCGTCGAATGCATGACGACATGTACGCTCAGCCTCGGAATCATGATGAGGTGACGACGTTGACATGTGGAAGCCTCTTCTTTCTCTCACTCACGTCGGAGTGGCATAAACGGTGCCAATGCCAAGGTAATCTGCGCCGCCTTTGCAGGCCACCATGGCTTCTTGTATGGTGCTGACCGTGACTCCGATGATGGCGTCAGGGCCGAGCAGCCGCCTGGCGGTGGATAGTTCTGTTGGGAAGCAAGTTAATCCTTTTGTTCATTTCTCTCTCTCTCTCTCCCTTCGATCATGTCCCGAGCGAGTGAGAGAAGCTGCTGATGATGAGCATAGGCAACTAACCCATATCATCCTGCCCAATGTGAACACCCTCGCAGCCAACCGCCAGGGCAACATCTACGCGATCGTTGATGAGCAGCGGGACGTTGTACTTCTTGGTAATGGCGTGCAGCTTCTTGCCCATGGCAATCATGTCCCCGGTATCGCTCGTCTTCTCGCGGAGCTGGACGATAGTGGTGCCACCCCTGACCGAGGCCTCGACGACCTCGCAAAGGTCTCGGTCGCCGAGGATGGCGGGGGTAGAGTCCGTTACTAGATAGACGGCATAGTTTACGTTGTTCCGGTCCATCCTGAAGACGAAACGGGATTGCCGTTGGGAGGGACGAGGTGGGAGAGTGGTGGTGGAGGGGCTCGATCTCCAAACAGAGACCCGGACGCCTACTAGCGGTTAATGCACGCTTCCTTGGTGCTGCAAGCGTACCGTAACCGTACCGCTGACCGTCTGGCTTGATTTTTTCGAGAGCCAAGAGGGGGAACCTGTACGTAGTGTAAGTATCTATTGCGTGAATCTGCAAGTGCGAGTGCGTGGTAAGGATTCGAGTGATTTCTTGTAGGCGTCCAGTGTTCGGCTATCATAGGTTTACTGTGTGTGGCTTCGGACAGGAGGCAACATATATCACTTAGCGTTACACCATAAAACTACTTGACCTTGGCAGTGGTTCATCACGATAACTATTCTATCGATCATGCATCGCAGGTTAAACGTTTTAAAGCTTCACATGAGATCCAACACTGTCGTGGTTTCCAAGCAAGTGGTAAAGTTGCACAGTGCGAAGAGTGTCCCTTTTCCATGCCATAGCTTGATGCATTACCGTACGTTACACATGCAGTACCGTTAATCATCAACGATCTTAACGAGTCAGAGTTGACACTTGAGGATTTCCAAGCCGTCATAATTGTTCTTGAGCATGTTCATATCACTTTACAGGTTTCCGATGCCTCTCTTTTCCAGCAAAACCCACCCTGCTCATTAAACCCTTGATCCGTAACCGTTTCATTGCCAAGAAATGCCAACCCGTACCTTGACCATCAGATTAACATATGTAATATTACAGTACCGTCTGCCACCAAAACACCACCGCCTAAGAAAGAGCAGGACTCTTCCTAGCATTGACATATCTCTCCACGTAGTTTCTCTCCTTTAGCAACCACCCGCTCAACGCCAGCGCGCCAGCTTCCACGGGGATCAGCAAGATGGACAGGTAGATGCCCGCCTTGCTCTGCTTGCACAGAGTTCCCCAGTTAGGCTGCGTCCACATGGGAATCGCACGCCACCGGCAGGTCCAGGACAGGAAGGTATCAACAGAGTCAGAGGCGTTGACGGAGTAGAAGAAGATGACGGCGATGAGCGCGGCGACGAGGGAGAAGAAGGGGAGCGCAAAGGATAGAGAGACTTGGACAGTTGAGGTTGTGCGAAGCTGTTGATGATGTCTTGGTTTTAGCGGTCTTGACTACAAGAATGGGTGGAGAATAGGAAGCCAACATACGAATTGTACCTTGGCAAAGACCAAGGCAACCATGTGGAGGACAGTGATGATGGCGCTGCCGGCGACCAGGGCCACGGTTGGTCGGATGTTAAACTCCTGAGGCCAGAGGGACAGGAAAGACCCCGGTAGAGGCTTGGTGGAATCGTAAACTGAGAGAGTGTTGGCGGAGACCCCGAGTACGGTAAGGCCCATCAGGAGGCCCAAGAGAGTGATGGCTGTTTGAACGCTGTCCAGAATACGGACGGTGCGTAGCTTGTTCTGCAGATGCTTGTCTCGCGAGGCATCTTCGAAGATCTCGGAGGTGGAAGGCGCTTTTTCGGACGACATGATGGTGAAAGTCTTTGAAAATGGGAGTAGACCGATGTGAAATTTGACTCAAAGTGTATATGCTGTTGTCTGTCCGTATATAGAGCACTGCTCTGTCCTTGGTGTCTAGATGTAGCAAAACAGAACGAAGGGGCGCCAGGGAAGGGTTGCTGGCGGAAGGATATGACCCGCAAAAGTGAACTTGGAAAGACGAAAAGAAGAAAAGAAACGAACAGCCCAACGGTTCGATTGAGACGGATGGAAGGTTGTCTCTAGAAGGGAAGATCGTCAGGACTCAGGAGCACGGGATTGTTCTGATACAAATACCTCTGACGGATTTCAAACTCAATCTCTTAACTCTCATCCATAGGGCGGCTAACCGCCATTGGCACAGCGCCGGATATGCCAGCAAGGAATCTGAGGATGGGATTCTGGGATCTCTTAGATCTCTCGGTGCTACCGTCCGGTAGCGTACCCGCGCACCTAAACGCCCATCATCTCAGGGTGCATCTCGCCTTCAGATAGATGAGCCATCCACTTGGAGAGCCGGAGATCCGCGTTGCCGATGCAGTGCTGCGAGGTAGGGGGTTGACGATGCCACCCTCCCAGTTGCCTGTGATGGATTATCATGTTTCCCTTGATGGTCAATTATCCCCCCTTGGTGGAAATGATAAAAGGAGATGGGGGACCAGAATAGTGCCCTCTGACCATCAGATTGGCTAGATTGCAAGATACATAGACGCAGATGAATATGCAGACATGCAGTGCGCGAACTTGTGTGATGAGCGGTCGATGGTTGGATTGGTGTTGAAGATGTGCCGGCGCTTACTGGCGACGAAGGCGGGGGGGGGGGGGGGTTAAAAGCCGGACGAGAGAGATCGTGAGAGTTTTGACCAATCAGAGTGCGTAACTCAAGGCTGAAACAGCATTGGTGGCTCGCTAGCGTCTGCAGTGCGCTTCGAGAGCCTGGCCTAGAACCAAGATGTGGGAGCCCCTGCAATTTTCAGCGGGCTAAATTTGACTTGGTGGGCAAATTGATTACGCCTTTTTTTTCGTCGAGGATCATCAAAGTTGCAAACTCTCTCGCATGTCAAGACGGGAAACTTGAGAAACATTAATCTTGTCGGGCGGGAGTAGAGTATTCTCTGTCACGTCACAATGACAACTTCTTCTCCCAGTCGCTAGCGAAAAGAAAGGGACCAAAAAATCTTTGCATGCCTTCTAGCCAACTTCTCGAAAGCGCTCAAAGAGGGCATGAACTCATCAGAGACAAGTCATACAGCGAGGTAGGAAACCCCGCAACCCTTCCTCACGCTAGGAAAGAGCACATTCAAAGGGACCACTTTCCATCGAAACCACCAAGGCCACTCAGACAACCGCTCCTACACCACCGTCATCCCACAATCACTACCACCACCGCTACCACTACCGTTACCGGATTCATTCAAATCCGAGTCAAGACCAAGACCCAAATCCTCTATCAAATCGAGAATCAAGTTTAAAGAAAACCATGATGTGCAGTGAGGAGTGATGGTAGCGAGCGCGGATAATGTACGGCGGAAGTTGATGCGTTGGTGGTGGGAGTGGGCGAAGAGGTATAAGGTTGAGAATGTGACTTCCGTGTGATTAGTAACTTGGTGGTAGTAAGGTATGTTAAGTGATTCTTCGGTTCTCCCCACACAAAACAACATCTGGAAAAAAGGGATGTTTTCCGATCTATCCAAGATTGAGAGAGATTTCACAATGTGAACCCATAGCATGAGGTTTATCAAGCCTTGCTCTTCTTTGCCCGATAAACAGATAAACAATACCAAAATTATCACCATTGAACGGCGCGGTTTAACAAAGTATAGGAACTCAAGTGTCAAGTATACGTTATGCCATGGTACAAAGTACCGGCAGTCAATGCCTCTGTAAGACAACTAAACAAAACCAATGCTTTTCATACGCCCCTTCCTTTCTTATGCCATCCATCCATTCCGTGTCTTTCCTTCCCTTCCGGCCCATTCACCCACGTATGTATGTATATATATATGTATACAGTAGTGCCCGTGTATAAAGATGTCTTGACATGCTACGCGTGAACGATTGCAAACACGACGCGCAAGAGGTTGATAAACCGCCGCACACGCCATATGCCCCCCCTCCCATCACTAATGATAATGTAAACTGCCAACCAAAATATACTGTTGCTCTCTAAGAGCAGGACACATCGAAAATCGTGATGGTATCTTTGTACTGTCAGTGTGTATCACCTTATCACCTCGCGCTCTTCTTCTTCCCGCTCCTTGTTGTCGGCGCAACCTGGACTTCCACCTCTTCCTTCGCAGCGGCCGCCTCCTGCTTCTTCTTGCTTTGCTTCCTATTCCTGGCCGGGGGTGGTTCCTCTCCGTGGAGATGGCCAATCTCCTCAATGGCCGTGGTGTTGACCCATGCGAGACATCTGTAGGCTGGTGGCTCGGGAGTGACTTGTCTGGTTGTCGTGGCCGCACGGCTGTTGTTGTTGCCTCTTGTGCTCCGCTTGCCCCTTCCTCCTTTCGTTGTTGGCTGGACGGGCGGCTCCTCGACGACGGCGGCCGTAGTGCTGGCTTCAACACCCTCCATCGCATCTCCACCCGTGACGCCGTTCTCTTCCTTTTTCTCTTCCTCTGTAGCTGTATCAAGTCCCACGTAGGTCTTGCGGTTCTCCATGCCCTTTTGGATTCGGTCCCTGTAGTTGACGAGTTCCTTCCTCAGCTTAGTCTCGTTAACACCCCGCGGATCCAGCCACTCAAGGAGCTTATCCACGTCCTCCGCACGCTCGTAGAAGCCCCATTGCGTGGCCTTGAACACGCTGGTACCGCCTTCCTCCCTCTTCTTCCTTTCCGGCACGGTGATTCCGAACTTGGCAACATATTCGTTCTGCCACTCCTCCTTCATATCGATATACCCCTCGCGCTCCAGCTCGTCCGGCCCCTGCACCCAGATACAACCGTTCGCGTACCCCGCATGCGCCGTGGAGCTGTCGGGTAAACCACCGTACGGCATTCCGTTTCTCTCGAACCAGTAGTACCTGTTCCAGAACCGGTCCTTGCCGAGCACCCTCGTGCGGGGGCAATCGGCTTCGCGAAGGTCGTTGTCGATGATGGCGATCTCCTTTTCGCATTCCGCAATTTCGTCCTCCTTCTTCTGAATATCCTTGAGTACCTTCAGGAACTGCTTTGATTGCTTAGGCACCTTGGCAGCGGCCGCCGCCGCTTCGGCGCGCTGCTTCTTCTCCTCCTCTTTGCGCTTGCGCTCGGCGGCACGGTCGTTGCCACGGCGCAGATTACGCAGGCCGTTAGTTGGCGTCCCGTCGGCATCCTCGGCGTCGGAGTCGGGGATTTCGTCCGAGATATGAACCCCTCCTGTCAAGGAGATCTCATCAACATCCGTCATCTTCACATCGCCGTTAGTGTGCGCTCCGTTGACGCCGTTGACCTTAGCTGGCTCCAATTGCGGACTCGGGGGCAGGTTGTCCGGGAGTAAGATCTTGCGTTGGTCGTTCAAGTTCTTGAGGTCCTCAAGACTGTAATTCACGTTAGCCAATTTTCGTTGTGCATCACCAAATCAAAGGACTTCAACTTACGCTTGTTTCCTCTTCCGCTGCCACTCAATCTTCTCCTTCCGGTACGCCGTCATCTGCTCGCTACAATCCTCCATATACCCCCTTATCGCCTTGGTTTCCGCAGTGAGCATGCAGATGATCTGCAAAGCCTGAACTCGATAGTTCACATCGAGGCTCGCATACCGCGCGCGCACCGTCTCGCGACTCGGCTCTTCATCCTCAACAGGCACAAGCTGCTCCAGAAGTTCCTCGCAGCTCGCGTTCAGCCTTTCGTTCTTGCTCAGCTGGTGTAACAACCCGACCATGATCAGCTCCCAGCCGCCGTCCTTGAAATCGCGCTTCCGCAGGTGCTCGATCCAGTCGTAGGCCTTCAGAACCTCCTCGGCACGGTGCTTGGGCGCATCTTCGGCCTCCTGCATTTCTCGTTCGGCAGCAGCAGCCTCGGCAGCTAGTCGCTCAGCCTCGAGCTTAGCGAGGCTGCTGCGTGTCGCGCGGGCGGTAGGTAGCGACTCGGGTTCAGGGGTTGCGGCGGCGCTATCTTCTTCATCCTCCTCTTCCTCATCCTCCTCTTCAAGCTCGGGTAGCTGAATTTGGACCTTACCGCCGTCGGCCTCGGAGCTGACCAGAATCTTGAGGACAGCGCAATGAATCTCGTTGAAAAGCTGTACCGGCATCTCCTCCGAGGCGAGCTGCATGGCCTCCACAAAGTCATCGAAAGTAAACGAATCCAGCTTGAAGATCTCGCAGTAAACGTTGAGGGTATCCCAGGTCTCGAGAAGGGGTCCTACCGACTTCATGAGTATCTTGCCATCGAAAGGCGCCTTGAAAGTGGGTTCCAGGTCGACAGGCGGATCGGCACACAGGTACTTGAGTTGCGGTCGCACCAGGCCGCGAGATTCGACTTGCAAATCCTCGATCGGGTACTTGGGCGGCGGGGGCGGCGGGGGAGGCTCGGGTGCGCTGTATATAGGAGGTAATGTGTGACTGCGATATGACAGAGGGAACTGGAATGGATTGCCTGGCAGTGGTAAGTGCATGAACCCGCCCGGCTCGGGGCCGTTAAAGAGGTTATGTTTCCGAGAAACTACGCCACCATTCTGCCGTGCCTCTTGAGCAGCGGCCTGAGCGGCCTGCTGAGCCTTTGACTTGTGACTCTTAGGCGCTGGTTTCAGTTCAGGAAGGCGGACAGGACCTGTAGGACTAAATTGTCCTGGTGAGGCAGGGGTGTTGTGGCTGGTGTGGCTGTTGAATTCCATACCCATACCACCGGGTTGCGTCATCCTCTTCTGTGCCTGGATTTGCTTTCTTTCGAGCAACTTGTTGTCGTAGCGCAGATGTGGCGGGATTCGAGTGTCAATGTGATATCGCTCGGCAATGTCGGTCTTGACTAGCCAGGGAGCGCCGTTCCAAGCCTCGCGTGTTACTGTCTTCTTGATGAAAGAGCGAAGGACCGACTTGGTGAAGACCTTGCGGTCGCGGAAGATCTGAGAGTCATTGACGGGCACCTCCTCCTGCCGCTCTTTGAGGCTGACAAAGTAGCGGGAATACGGGGGAGCGGTGGAACCATCAGGCAGGACCGTGCCTCCGAATCGAGTCTTGTCCCGGACTACACCGTGTAGTTTCTCTCCATCGATGCTCACGGTAACAGTCTCACCCGGATAGTAGTCGTTCTTAAACTCATCGTAGATCTGATCAACCAGAGTGTCGATGCGAGACACGGTTTGGAACTGAACACGTCGAAGAACAGGACCCTTGAGGGCCTCAGGAAACGCCTGCTCAACCTCAGCTGCCCCAGCAGTCTGCAGGTGAAAGGGTTGGGTTAGTCCTGTATGGAAACGCAGAAGGCTTTCTGGAGCTTCGCATACCTCACTTGATAGGGCTTCAAAGAAAGTTAGACCAGAGTGACCTGTGATTGTGCAGATGAATCGTTTCTGTTCTCAAAGTGTGAGTGCATATCATTCAGGGGTGACTTGTTTACTTGCACAGCTGTGCTCACCTGATTGTAGAAGTCCATGCTATCTCCAAGTCAGCTTTCAAGTTCACACACTGTTGACTTAGTTATTTTGCACATACCGGTTGAGGTATTCCTCATATGTTACGAAGATCTCTCCCGTCTGAGGGATGTGCCAAACCTGTGAGGCAACGTGTAAGCTGGCGACTGCACGAACACATGAGAGGGCAGAAGGGGGAGAGCATGCATACCTCTTGGCTGTCATCTTCAATATTCGGAACAGTCAGAAACTGCACCGGCTTCCTTTTGAATAGGACCTAGTTGGTGAATATGGGGTAAGCAGCTTGATCCAGATGACAATGGGGTTCTCGGGAAAATCAAGTACCATGATGAAAGCTCGCTCCTCGAGATCTCAAGAGGAAGCCGAGTTAATGATGACCTTGAGTGAGGAGGAGAAAGGAAGAGAACCGACGTGAAAGCCGGAAAATCAGACCCCAAAGATGACGGGGGCTAGTTGGAGCGGGGAGCAAGGCCGAGCAGCCTTGCACGTGTCTAGATGATGAGTCTAGATGTTTTAGACCTATAAGAGCAAAAGTGGTGGTGAGCAAGTGTGTGATTGAGAGAATCGAGACGCGTTGTTGCGCCCAAAAGAGCGGTGTTGTGGCTCATGTCGCGATCCGTGATGGTCGGGTGGAGAGAGGGGAGTTGGGTTGAACAGGGTTGTCACGGGTGTGGTGTGTGGGTGCCTCGAGGGTAGGGTGCTGATGCCGGTGCTGGGTTTGCTAGGTGCGTGGTGTGGTTGGGGGGGAGGGGGAGGATACTTGAGAGGAGAGGAGGTATGAGGTATGTGCCATGTGGGTGGTATGTAGAAAGGTGTAATATCAAAAGGGAGGTACATACGTACAACCGCCCTACACTTGAGGTGGCCTCAATGCTGCTGCTGCAAGGCTGATTGAAGACTTTTTGGACCCAATGCTGCGCTGCATCCGTTCAAAGCCTCGAACTCGTTCCCTGGCGTGATGGTTGGAATTTGCGCCAAATCCAAACGGATGGAGGCCGGGACACGGTGGGTTAGGTTTCGGATGCCGGCCGGAGGTTGGTGCTTAGTATCAAAATTCCATTCAATATCCCGAATATCTCGACATTGGAAGCGACAAAGTGGCGTGTGTGGTTATGGTGGAACGGCCGTCGTGGTCGTGGTGGGCGGCGGCGGATGGCGGTGCGGGAGCAAGTGCACGAAGTTGTGGGAGTTGGGAGGAGGAAAAAGTTGAACCAGGGCCCGGGGGGGGGGGGGGGGGGGGGGGGAA